AAATGTCGAAGTCACTAAAGGACAAACAATGGGACTTGATAAAGGTAAACAATGAGACTTTACTATCTTTAAATTTATTATTTTTCCAAATGGTTTTTAGTGATTACATTATTTGTGGGTTCAATTAATGATATTTTTTTGTAGGAAAAGTTCCATTTTTGATTATGATAAGGGTGAATGTTGGATTACGCAAACCTTAGGAGTTAGATGGAAAAACTACAAGAGTAAGTTCAAAAGGAATCACATCAATCTAAACAAAAGTAAGGGGAAATAACTGCAAATGTTCCTTCGAGTGTGAATATTGGTTAGTGGTTAAACTTTATGGACTACTACATGACCAGTGAAATAAAAGTATAATACTACATTATAAATACTTTAACTTGTTCTTATACATCTATATGCTATAATACGTATAATTTTATTGATGTTTGGTTTCATATTTGAAGGAACTAAGTAATCAAAACAAACAAAGTCGTAAAAAAAAAATTAAATCTATCAACCACATTGGATGTAGTATGAACAATGGAAGAAATTCACACAAAATGTTATAGAACAATTTATAATATCATATTTTAGTAACAACTATTTTTTTTAATATTTCCATTACTTTGTTGAATAAACCTTGACAAATGAAAAATTAGTCACCAATTTACTTATTTTGTGGGAGCACCATCTTCCTTATTAGTTAGTGTGATAGAAAAAAAAAGTATTTCCAAATCCTATTGATTTCTTTTTTGTTATATTTATTTAATAAATCTTTCAAATATTTGTTGTATGATTGCATTGGTGTAATGAGGGAAAAATAAAAAAGAAGAAGAAGAAATAATATGATAGGATTAATGTTATAAGAGTGGAGAAAGGTTAGGAGTCCTTATTATTTCTGTTTATAGTTGTCATTTATAGTTAGATAATAATATCATTATGATAAGATTAATATTATAGGCCAATTATTATTAGATAATAATGATAGTGTAATATTATAGACCAATTATTAGATAATAATGATAATACTGAGAAAAATAATTTTTCTATTAATCATGAAAATAATTTATCTTTGGTCATTTTGCATTATGCTTCATTTCAAACAGTGGATTTGTGATGTGTGTTTGCTACAAAATATCTACATGCAGTTTGACAAACAATTTCAGTTTAAAATTTAAATTCATTGCAAGTGAATTAAATTTTTGATAGCATTAGTTCAGTTGCTACATCAAATTTATTTTTTGTCTACTACTTTTGACAAGTAGAATACGAAGATATAGAAGGATCATGGATTAAGTCTTGCACAACGCATATTATATATATAGTTTCCATTTTTTTTCAATCAATTTAAGTCTTTTTATTCTATGATGGTGAGGATATATTTCTTTTATAATTTGAATTATGACTGTTACTATTTTTATTATTGAGATAAATATTTTTTTTTTAATAATTTCTTACCTCTCTTAATGCTATTTATACTTTTTGAAAATATTTCTTAATACTACTATGTAATTGAAAATGAAGTTAAATCAATAATTGATTAATTACATGGAAAATTAATATCTAAAATCAATTTTTAGACAATCATTATAAGTATTAGGGGAAATTCATACCTCCCTTATTTTAAAATAAAAAATAAAAAAGGTTTTAACCGAAAGGCATGAGTAGATTTTGATGTTGAATTTTAAAATAATAATAATAAATAGTAATTTATGAAAAAGTTACAAGAGTAAATATGTATCTAAAATTGTGTATATTAAAAAGGTCTATCCCATTTATAATAATTATAGATTATCATCAAATGATTGAAATATGAAAAGAAAAACAATGCAAATGAATGAAAGACAAATAAATTATTTGAGAATTAATAGTAAGAGTATTCATGAATCATAATTTTAAAAAGTCCAAACCAAATTGAATTAATCCATTTTTTAAAAATAAATTGAGTAACCGATCCATTTTTTATAAAGTGAATTAGTTCAATTTTTTTAAAATATGAATCAAATTCTTTTAAATTGAATCGATTTAGTGCTTTATAATTATTTATTCTATAACTATTTATAGATCAACTTTGTAAGAAAATCATACTAAATTGATCTATTTTGTAAAAATAAATCAAATAACCAAGTTGATTTTATAAAGTAAATTAATTTAAAAAAATTAAAAATAGATTAAATTTTTTAATGTAAATCAATTTGATTATAGATCGATCTAAATCTGTTTGATTTTTTTTACACACACCTATGAAACACTATGTGAAGGATAAATAGCCAAAAAAAAAGCTCTTCATCAACCACAAAATATAAGCAAATTGTGTCCTCCAAATATACTCACGTATCCTTACAAATTACTACACAAAAACCACGTTATCATCTCCCATAGGACAACTTGTTCATAAATGCCATCAAGTGAAGTTTTAGCCACTTGCGAACACCCATAATCATACAATTCACTTTTTCTAAAACAAAAATATGAAAACTATACAAACTATCCACACTCAAACTCAAACTAATATTTCATATCTCTCCTATGCTACACTCCTCCGGCCTTCACGTGCCTTGGGATTTAAATTCTAGCTAAGCATTGAATAATGAAACCTTCTCACTACTTTGTCCCATTACCATGATTGATGCTTAATTACTTTCACTATCTCCTCTACCCCTTAATCCCTTATTCACCTAAGAATAATTATCATTTACCTACTTCAATTTATTATTTTTATTTCAAAATTAAATTTTCATATCTATAAAATATATCATAATAAAAATAATTTTATATCATACTATAAATTATTTATTATAAATTTAAATATAATTTATATGATGAAAATATTTTTATCATATACTTTTATTTGTAATATAATATATATTTATGTATTAAATTTATTTATTTATTATAAAGTAACGGCTTGATCATATAAAATAGAAGTTTATCCTGTACATCCAACATCCTAGTAATATGCGCTCATAAATTATAAATTTAATTATATAGTTTATTTAGTATCTTGCTAAAATACTATTTTTGAAAATAATTATTTAAATTAGCTCCAAAATTAGCACAAAATATCATAAATAAAAGACTAAAACCCTATTTTGGTCCCTTATATTAATTGCTTGTTTTAATTTAGTCTCACTTTTATTTTTGGATTCAATTCGGTCCTAAACTAATTAATTGGTTTCAATTTAGTCCCAAATTAATTAATTGATTTCAATGTGGGACTTCCGTCCAAATTATTTAAACGGAGTTAATTTTTGGCCACGTGGATGCCACGTAAATACATACGTGGATGCCATGTGAATGACAATTTTTGGCTAAAAACCTATTTTGGTCCCTTATAATAATTGTTTGTTTCAATTTAGTCCCAATTTTATTTTTGGTTTCAATTTGGTCCTAATTAATTAATTGGTTTCAATTTGATCCCACATATATTAATTGGTTTCAATTTGGGACTTCCATCCAAATTATTTAAACGAAGTTAACTTTTGGTCACGTGAATGTAGTTTTAATCCCTCAAATATTACAATTGTGCAGTTTTGATCTCCAAGATTTTAATTGGGTAATTTTAGTCCTTAAAGAATTGCAATTGCGCAATTTTGATCCTTCAATTTTTAATTGAACAATTTTAGTCCCTCGAATATCATAATAGTACAATTTTAGTTTCTCTCATTAAAAATTAATAATTTTAATATATATATATATATATAATATTTTAAAATTAAATAATTATTTATCTATTCAAATTAACGTATATTATAATTTTCGATATTATATCAATAATATTATTAATATATTTATAGATAAACTAATAATTTGATAAATATAACTTGTTATATATTAATATACTTTTACAAAAATATAAGTATATTAATTAGAAATATATATCTGATCTTATATATTTATATTTTTGTAAAAGTATATTAATATATATTAAGTTATATTTATCAAATTATTAGTTTATTTATAAAAAGGGTAAAAATATTATTGATATTAATTTATCAGTAATATTAAAATACTAATAATATATAAATTTTATTTATTTAGTAATAGTAAATATATATCATTTGATACATTAAAAAAAAACATTATATACATATATATATATATATATATATTAAAATTATTAATTTTTAATGGGAGAAACTAAAATTGTACTATTATGATATTTGAGGGACTAAAATTGTTCAATTAAAAATTGAAGGACCAAAATCGCGCAATTGCAATTCTTTAAGGACTAAAATTACCCAATTAAGATCTTGGAGAATAAAACTACGTAATTGTAATATTTGAGGGATCAAAACTGCATCCACGTGATCAAAAGTTAACTTCGTTTAAATAATTTGGATGGAAGTCCCAAATTGAAACCAATTAATATATTTGGGATCAAATTGAAACCAATTAATTAATTTGGGACCAAATTGAAACCAAAAATAAAATTGGGACTAAATTGAAACAAACAATTATTATAAGGGACCAAAATAAGTTTAGCCAAAAATTATCATCCACGTGGCATCCACATATGCATTTACGTGGCAACCACGTGGCCAAAAGTTAATTCCGTTTAAATAATTTGGACGGAAGTCCCACATTGAAACCAATTAATTAATTTGGGACTAAATTAAAACCAATTAATTAGTTTGGGACCAAATTGAAACCAAAAATAAAAGTGGGACTAAATTGAAACAACAATTAATACAAGGGACCAAAATAGGATTTTAGCCTAAATAAAAAATATATAGAACACTCACATAACAACAATACTTGATATATAATTTTATCAAGTGTGATCATTTACAAAATTAAAGCATAATTTAAAACCATCAAGACCTTAACAAAAAAATAAAGGATATTGACAAACAAAACAAGTCCATGTACCACCATTTAAATTTTTTCATCTCAAGCTCAACACACAAGGGTATTCATTCAACACAACAATCTCACGACTATGCATATGAAGACCACATTTGTGTCACCAAACCAACATAGTTTAACCTATGTCAAAATGTAGGACCAGAACACAATTTTTTTAAAACATAAAATTGAGATTTTAAATTTAATATCTTTTGTTTATAAAACAATAAACCCCACAACCAAGCATTTATGCTTAATCAGGAGTACAGCATTCAGGTAAGTACAATTGCGCAAGGAATTTAAATTCCTATTAACATTGGATGTCCGGAAGCTGTACTAAATTAAGCAGATACAACTTGGTGAAAAAAGTACCAAAATTGAAAGGGATCAAAAGGGTTTCTGTCTCAATCTTGCTCTTGGGGTGTGGCACCATTTGTTGCCTCCATTGGCTCAGCTTCTGCTCCCTTCTTACCTGCTAACAACAAATGTTTCTTTGAGACCTCATTTGACAATTAGTTGACAATCACTAAGGTCAACATGAAATAACACAAAATATAACATCACATAATACATGATTAATGCTAAATTCACCATTCTAGGCTACCTTTCTTTTTCTTTCCACCACCCTTCTTCTTTGTCTTTGTGCCTAAAGCTAACCACGCCTTGATTTCAGGATCATCTATTGTTTTGGTGGGCTGCAATTCCTGGAGTGGATGAGTAGTGACGCGATCTGATCCATTAGGCATCAACAATACGGTAAATTTGATGTGTGCAACATAATCACCTGAAAAAATAACCAAGAATGTGAGGCATAAACACTTTGGGAACATATTCATGGTGATCTAGTGAAGTCTCAAAGCAATATAATTTTACCCGGCTTTTCATGCAGCACTGGATAAGGTTGCAGGAGCTCATGATTCACACATTCCACTAAACCCAGACGAGCTCTTTTCTCTTCCAAGGCTCTATTATGAAAGAACAGACATGAGAAGTGTGACAAAGAGAAACCATATTCAAACTCTCGGTTTGAACAAAATATATAAACATTTAGGTGATCAAACTAACCTTGCAGAAAATGGCATGATGGGAAACTTTTGGCTTATTTCACTGAAAATGAACCTTGATGCTTTCATCTTCAAGTGATAGCTCTTGTCGACAGCTCTCTTATAAATAGTTGTCTGCTTTTCATCCAATAATTTAGGCTGCAGGGATTGAAATTTTATTAAATCGATGATAGGAAGATGCATCACAAGGGAAAATATATTAACAAAACCAAATTACTTTGCCATCTCCAGTACTTGCTACAATATCGATTGCATAAACTTCATTCTCCTCAAACTCTGCGTCATCAACCCTTGTATCAGGATTGGATACACTAAGCACAACCTTGTTCCCATCAATCACAAACTGTTTCATTTGGTGGCTAAGAACACCCTCAACAATTTTACAGTCATACGCAGCAGCAACTTTCTGGATTGCTTCAGATACATCCTTGTTCTGTCAGGAAAATAACAAAATTCATAAGAATATATTACATAACCAAGCGTAACAATAAATTACAAATTTAAACTTTCAACATACAAATATTAATTTCATCTAAAATTGCTTCAATAGAATTTTTATGTAATCACATGATCACAATACTATAAAATTATTTCAAACAACAAGCCTTCAGAGATTACTTTGCAATGAAAGTTGTTACTTCTACACCTTTTTCAAATACACATATATAGGCATTGATTTGAATTGTTCCATATTAGCTGCAATAGACAAGGGTACTGACTATAAAATTAGCACATAATTTAACTAGTCTAGTGAAAAGGAGAAAAATCAAATAGAGTCGGAAAGTTATTCCTACAACTTTTCCAAATATACATAGGCATTGATTTAAACTTTGTTTCAGGTTACGGGTACTGGTTATAAAATAAGCACAACATTTAAATAGTCTAGTCTTTAGCCAATAGTAGTTTAGACAACACGGAAAGGAGAAAAATCAATATAGCATCAAAAACCTTGACAAGGTTACCCTTTCTAAGACTTCTATAAATACACATTCAATTTTTGTTTCATGTTAGCTGCAATAGACAATGATGCTGACTATAAAATAAGCACAGCATTCAACTAATCTTTCAGCCAACAGTAGTTTAGGCAACATGGGAAGGAGGAAAATCAATATAATATCGAAAACCTCGGCAAAGTTGCCATTTCTAATACTTCTACAAATACACATTTGAAATTTGTTTCATATTGGCTGCAATAGACAAGGGTACTGACTATGAAATAAGCACAGCGTTTAACTACTCTTTCAGCCAATAGTAGTTTAGGCAACATGGGAAGGAGGAAAATCAATATAATATCGAAAACCTCGGCAAAGTTGCCATTTCTAAGACTTATACAAATACACATACAGGCAGACATTAATTTGAATTTTGTTACATGTTGGCTGGCAATAGACAAGAGTTCTGACTATAAAATTAGCACAGCATTTAACTAGTCTTTCAGCCAATAGTAATTTAGGCAACATGGGAAGGAGGAAAATCAATATAATATCGAAAACCTCGGCAAAGTTGCCATTTCTAAGACTCAAACACACATACAGGCAGACATTAATATGAATTTTGTTACATGTTGGCTGCAATAGACAAGAGTTCTGACTAAAAAATCAGTACAACATTTAATGATTTAACTATTTTTCAGCCAAATGTAGTTTAGACAACAGGGAAAGGAGGAAAATCAATATAGTATCGATAACCTCGGCAAAGTTGTCATTTATAAAACTTTTGAATACACATAAAAGCAGGCATTGATTAGAATTATTTTCATTTTAACTTAAAAAAATAAGCATTTGTAATGGAAATCTTTGTAATAACAAAAAAGATACTAAAAAACAATTGTCTAGGGTTAAAAATTCTAAAACATAAATCCCTATCAGAGTAACTATGACATAAGCTTCACTTGGACAATTGCCCATAGCCTTTGATAAGTGATCATCATGTAGGGTTAAAAATTGGACAAACAACATCCAGGTTGTTCCTGAAAACATTCAGGGAGCATGGTTCTCTCCGTTCATAGCGCATGAAACAAACAAATGACAGAAGAAACAGTGTACAGCTTTAAGGTAACCAAAAATGCATGGCAAAAATATATTCTGGTATATCCAATAATATTTTTTCTTAAATATCAATCAACAGTAAAAATAGTCATGCATAGTAGTAGTTTTCAATATGCAAGGGAAATAGCATCCAATTAGTTTGAACTTGGTTTGAACTGACATGCAAATAAAATAAAAAAATAGAAAACAGAAAATAAGATGAGAAGCAACATATATTTGATATTTCAGCAACAGAAAAAGTTCTCTATCAGTGTAACTATGACTATAAAGCTTCATCGGAGTTTATCCATGGCTGATCACAGTTTTCATCATTTAGAGATCAAACTCAGAAGGAATCACTTTAGACAACATATATCAAGCAACCTAATGCACCTGACAAGAGAAAAAGTATAAAATAAATAAATAATGGAATTGCTTCATATGGAACATTCTGTCCCTATTATATAATTATATAATATAATTATGCATTAATGTACTGTATTTTCTACATTTTTTCTTAATATCCTAGAGTATCTTATAGTATTATAATAGCATAATATATGATTAATAATATAAAATATCAAAATATCAAAAGAAACCCTCCCCCCAATTGTTAGACTGTTTCGGGTGCAGGATAAGTAAACAGGGAGCCCAGACAAGCCGAACAAGCCTGAAGATGGCCGCATAAAAGCCATCGGAGATAATGGAAAGAGAAGAGAGAAAAGTGTGAGATAATAAAAGTGTCCCACTCTTTTTCCATAATGGCGGCACTATCCCAGACACTCTGGACGTAGCCATGCCACTGAACCAAACTGCTATAGAGGCCCATTTAGTGGCCAAGGGCACTACACAATGGCCCTATAGAGTGCTATTCTCAACCATGATTGGATTCTTATATCTACCATGTACCCATATCAATGGAGCAAGTAAGGATCAACAACATGAGAACAATTATGCAATCAAACCAATCATTTTTCACTTGGCCTAAAACAATTGTAACTAATCCACAACAGCAATTAATTCATGTTAACAAGCCAAGTACAGGAACAAGAACCAAGGGTACAAGCAAATGTGATTATAAAAGATAAAATCAATTCAAAATCATCACATTCTATACAAATGCGACACAGACATAGGATGAAATCTCTTACATATGATTACCTTCTTTCCTGGCCGCACAAGCCTCAGGGCAACTTCAGCAGCAGTGTTTGCTGCTGCAATGGCATCAGCAGCACGTCCTGTAACTGGACCCTCCTGAAGAACATGAGTGTGTGCCACAGCAGCAATGAACCCATCTATATGACAAGCCATATCACTGCACCCAACCAAACACACCATCAGTCTATTGCCGCCAATAACACACATTATTAGCTAACATTTTTTAATTATATATCACAAAAATTGCTCCAAAAAATCTTACATTTTCACTATATCACCTTCCTCCAACACCGATTCATCACTGGCGAGAGGAGAGAAGTGACACACAGTGTTGTTCACAGACACACAAGTTGGAAAGGCAACACCTCTCTCAATCTTCCTCTTCACATTCTTGTACATGTTTCCAGTTTGCCTTCATTAAAAAAACACCGCAAACTCCATTAATTTGCTAAAACCACAAAAAAAAAAATCGAAAAATCATACAAACCTAAAACAAATACAAAAAACACATGTAATCCAAAACAACACAAATGGGGCATAAATAAGCACAAACTTACTCTCTAATATATGAATCCCCTTTCTCGCAAAGGTCAACAATCTTGGCCTTCGGCTTACATTCTGAAATAACTAACTGCAAAGCCTCTATTAAAGAGAAGAAGAAAAACAAACCCATTACTCATCACCATAAATAAAAAATAAAAAATAAAAAATAAAAAAAACACAGATAAATCTAACCCATCAAAGTTATGAACCCAATGTATCCAAAAACAAAAACCCTTTTAGAATATAACAAAAATGAGTGAGTGTAACACACTGTTAACAATCTCAGCTGCACTCTTGTACTTGGTGACAACTTCCGGAGAAGTGAGATCCAACTCCTTCTCCTCCCTCTCATCGTCCGACATGGTAGCTTCTCCGGATAACCCTGCTGGATTCTGATTCTGAAAACACCCAGAAGAAGAAAAAACGAAAGATCAAAACTTTGTCCAAGCGGGTAGCCGAAAACGGCATCAAAAATCAAAGATAAGGAAGACCCTGATGAAGGGTTGAGGAGCAGAAAGTGACACTCACGGTGCAGAAAAAGCGTGAAGAAGAGAAGGGGTTATGAGGGTATAAGGAGAACCTAAGAAAGGGGTTTGTGTGGCTAAGTGGCAGTTCAATGAACTAGGGTTACTGACTTACTGGTGCACAGCATCAGGGAAACGGTGGCTTATATAGGATTTTCATACTAACGTAGGGTTTTTGCTTTCATTCTTACCGTTTATTTCACTCGAACACTTATAATAAAATTTAATTTAATATGTTTAACTCATTAATTTTTATTTAATTTGTTTAATAATAAGTTAAATCATTTATTTAATTTTTATATTTATTTATATTTTAAATTTTAATTTTAATTTCTATACAATAGAAAATTATATGTTTTATTCTTTAGATTTTTTTATGGTAATTTATACCCATTAGAAAGCTTTTTAGCAATTTTATGCGGTACAAAGAATTTTTGTGGTGTTAACGTAAGTTACAAACTTTAACTTTTATTATATGTATGGTGTAAAACAAACTTTATTATATGTATAATAGTTGTATAGAGATAAAAATGTATAATTTTTTATATGATATTTAAAATTTAAAATGATCACAATAAGGACCAAATGTATATTTTTAATTAAGTAGGTTTTAGTTATTTAAGTAATATGTGAGTTATTGTAATTTCTTAACATAGAGTTTGATTTTTATATATAAAAAATGTTTAAAAGAATTGTATATGCATTAGTATGTTTTGTGCTTGGAAAATTAATTTTGATAAGAATTAATGTGTGTCTATGGTTAGAAAAATGATTTTGCATGAAATTAATTTAGTTGAAATTGATTTTGAAGCGAAATAATTCATATTCGGATTTTTTTATAAGTTAGCAGAAAAATTTAATATAATTTTCTTCATGTAAAAAAAACTACTTAAAATTATTTAAAATTCAAAATCAATTTTAAATTTATAATTAATTTTTTAAGCTAGACCAAGTAGTGAACATTCATTACAAAGTAACTTAATACATTCTCTTTCTTATTATCAGTTTTTTAGTAAAAAAATTCTTATTTATTCATCACTTTCAAAGTTCAAACTTCATTAATTAATATTTGACAATAATACTCTTACATCTTATATCTCATATAATTTTTAATTAATTTATACTTACCATTAACATGTATTTATTATAAAACAAAATAAAATAAATATAATCAAAAATATTAAAATTAATATATAGAATACAGAAAACTTTATTATATTTTTTTATTTATGTATAACAACCTTAAATAACTATTAAAAGACAATATCATCTTAATAATACATATAAGAGTTAATCACTTATATACTGCTAGTGTAAAGTTTTTTTTACACTGACAACTAATTATATTCTTTAATTGCGTCATGTCACTGTAAACACATTTACTTTTAACAGTGACATGACACAATTAAAAGATATAATTGATTGTCAGTATAAAAAAAACTTTATACTGACAGTGTATAGGTGATTAACTCTACATATAAACCTTTTTTCTCTCATGAATATCTTTAACAGATTAGATTAGAAATTAATCTCATTGCTGCAATTTTTTAACCCAAAAGTTTTCACATATGAATATCAAACACAAGATTTACAAGATTTACCGCAAGATATAAGTTTTTGTTTTAGATAACTCTTTAAGAAAACAAAAGACTCTTTCACAGCATCATGAACTGGTAAACCATCGAAGGCACACGATGGTGGTGGTGACTAGAGCTTCTCTGAGTTATTTTTAGAGATACATTATTAAAGAAACAAGTCATACCTAAGCAAGTAAAGAATCTAAAGGAAGTTGTTGTGAAGGAGCAGCTTGTAAATCTCATTCACGGATTGGTCATTATATAGATATTTCAAATAACATAAATATATACAAGATAAGATAGAAACAGAAAATCATATAAAATAGAAATGCAACATGATAACAAACTATCCTATCATAAACCCCAAGCGTGTGGTTCAGCGGTAGAGGTTGATCCACGCTTAAGCAAGGTCAGGGATTCGAATCCTGCCTTGTGTATGCAACCGCGTTAAATCTTGGGGCCAGCTATCCCACCCTTTGAGGTGCCTCCAACTTAGCGAGGAGATTAGTCACTGCTGTCGGCGGTAGATACTTCAGGGACGAACAAAAAAAAAAAACTATCCTATCATAAATAACTAATCAATCTTATCCTAATAAAATCTTTTGCAAGATGATATAATGAACTTGGAACTAACAAGGAACACAAGTTATAAACTAAAACAAGTTGCAAACTAAGTTTTCCATGGAGCCTCTAGCCTTTGGACAACTTTGTGAACTATGGAAAGAGTGTACCATATTCATCATTAAACTAGTTAGTATGTGTTTGGCTTGCTGTCAGAAAGACATCAAACATTGATTTGTGTATTTCAAAATACAAAACAGAAAAGTAACAATATTGATAGATTGAAAAAAAAAAAAAAGTGGATTATGTTCAACGGAAGGATAATCCAAATGCACCTTTAAAAAGATTGTGCATTTTCTTTTTAGCATGACCTCTAGCATTATTTATCTTTTTTTTTTAATATATTGTATTTTATTTTTTGTTCTTAATGGACCTCAAGTAATGTAGGTAGCCTAATCTGATTTGACGCTCACACTCCAGAGATTGGGCCTAGACGTGCCAACCCACTATGAAGTGCCTAAACAACTCCACTATGGTAACAAACTCATGTTCACTCAATCCTAGTTTGCACCAGATTTGGATCCAATAGAGAAGCAACCCTTTGCCGTGGCAACTCATACTCAAACAAAAGAACAATTTAATTCCGATTAAGATTTTTATGAATCAAATTTGTTAGTTCAATAAATTCTACCTAGTTTTTAGACCTCTAAATGAAATGTATTGGAGTTAATCAACTTAGTTAACTATTAAATTAATCTTTTGATTACATGTGCATTTGATACATATTAAGATCCAACATAAAAAAAAAACAAATATTGATATTACATGACAACTTTTATTGTGTGTATCTTTTCATAAATAATGTAAATTTTATTACTATATGTTTTTAATATTACTTATCTTAATACAATTCATATTAATAATTTTAATATAATGTCAATGACAATCATTATAATGATAATATTAATTGTGGTGGACAGTAACAGTAGCAATATTAATAATAAAATCATTAATGATAACTGATAATATTGATAATAATAATAATAAAGATAATTATAACTACGATAATGTGATAGTAATGACAGTATTAATAATAAATCACAATAATTTTATTATTTAATTTTATTTGTTATTTTATTTTTCATAGAGATAAGAAATGCTTGAACTTTACTAATATTTTATAATTATTGTTTCTTTTTTCTGTCACCCTTTTAAAAAGTTGCGAACTCAATTAGTGTGTCATATTAGTTCTTCCTTTCCAGGTCCAGTTTCCACATAACAATTGGATTAATTACATAGGGAAATCATATTAACTGCATAAATCATGCATCATGAAAAGATGTAAATGGGTTCTCAGAAGTGGAAAGTGAGACTGCAAGACATGGTTACGCAACTTAAAGGATTGGCTTGCCACCATCTTTCCCATCTTCATTTTCTAATGTAATTACGCAACTTCACTTCAGTTTTCTCATCAATCTTGAAAATGTTTTTGGCTCAGAACGAAACATTTTAAAAAAATAATAAATAAATCAATAACTCCACTCAAAAGTGACTAATTAGTAATAATTATCTTTAAAGACGTGGAAACTGAAAAATACTCTAATGTGATACACATATAATACATTTTTGTTTTGGTTTCCTGATTATAGCAATACAAGACAAGACATGTAATGTTGGCCGTTTCAAATTGGACAAAAACTAGGAAATTTTTTATTATTCTTTGGGTCACAGCCCATGAAGCTTTGGGCATTAGTGCTTTGTGAGGTGTGTTTGTGTTGGCACATAGATGATTATGTGCCAACAAATAGTGCTTTGACTTTTGTTTTCTTTGTCTTGCCAAAGTCAAAATTAACTACAGGGTTTACACATCTTATTCACAGTTATCCTAAATTCCTAGTCACATGATATTACCAGCTTTTATTGGTGTAATGGGGAGTTGAAGGATGAATGCAAAGTGGATCATTTTTCTTGATGAAATCCAGGTATTTTGTATTATGTTTTTCGTGAAAATATTCAATTTCTAGCGTCAGGATTGAAGTTTTACATTGGTACTCTAGATTAACATTTAAGTTCTATATATTTTTTTCTAAAACTATTTAAAAAATAAAATAAAATAAAATAAAATATTTTTTTTTCATAAGTTTAAACCAGCTTTATGTGTAACTTAAAATAAATTCTTAGAAAAATTAATGAGAGAGTTCCTACAAATTAACTTATGTATAAATTAATTTTAATTTATAGATTTCATTTTTTTTTCTTCTTTTTATCTCCTAAAATAATTTTAGATAAGTTTATATAACCAAACCTCTCTTATCAACCTTCGTTGATCTAATTAGTGTTATAATTGATTTTTAAATCTCAAAATCTAGAATTCAAGTTCTGAATTTGATATAAAAAAATGACATTGAAATGAATAATCTTAATAAAGTCAAGGTCTGAATGGAGACTAATTTCTGTAGTTAACATCGAGAGAAACTAATTTTCAACAAAGTCCGTAAGTACGTCTGTCAATATAATGCGAAAAAAAAAACTTAATTATTACAAGACTTTATGATACATATTTCCAAAATTAACTTTCAATTATGTTTCAAGAATAACCCAAAAGACTATATCTAATTAATTTTATTTTTCTTGAAACTCATTATCCTCATTCTCTCATACCTAGTGTTGGAGTTCAAGTATGAAGAAGAGTTTCACCTCAATTAGAGTTACACATATTAAGTAGTATATAAATAAAAAGAATCTACCAATCTAACGTTTTAAGATTTTAGATTATGATATAATATCAAGCTTATTTATGTGGTTTACTCACTATTCCATTAATAAAGTATTTCTTGGTATCTAAACTCTTGGACCTACCAGTTTTTAAAACTCATTATTCTCATTATCTCGTGTTTAGAGCGATTAATGTTCCATGACACTAATGATGATAGAACTTTGATGAGAAAAACAAAAAATTCAGGAGCAAAAATGAAGTACTATTTAAGGCTTTGTTTGGATAGCAGTAATAAAAGTACTCTTA